TCTCGCTCTCTCACTCTTTTTCTCTCACTATCATTAGCAAGACTCAGAGCAATGCAATATAAGCCCCCACCGGGACCTGCTGATGCTCCTACATTATTTATGATCCTGATTCAGGATGCTGTCGGCAGTTTTCGCATCACATGGCCGGATTTCTCTTCATGGACATGGGTAAACTGTGAGACAAGAGAATGCTCTTTATAATGTATAACAAGCTCGATCACACTGGCACTTCATTTATGGATTTTTAATTATTCAGGGATTGTTGGGAGATGGGAATGATTTACTGTCCTGCTAAAGCAGCCGTTTTATTTTTAGCCAGAGCGGATGTAGTACGAATCAAGGGTTTAAGACAAAAGTGAGGGATGTTTTTGTGTAGTAATATGTAAAATATTAAATGAAGATTCCTATACTTTAGATTAAATGGATTCCATGACATTTCCAGGCATCTGTGACTGGCACAGAGACTTTTAAAATGTATTAAATAAAGATTGCACTCACAAAGAGCAATTTCTGATGTATATTTTATATTTAGCTGTACGTTCTAAGGCTAGCATCACTATTACTATTGCTATTAGGTTTGGTATATGAACAAAGCTAATATAACTATATATATAATACTTATATATTTTATATATTTATGAGATATATAATATATGATAAAATATATAAATATAAAAATAACAAAAATACTTTATATCTACATAAAAGGTACATTAAACTTCAATAGACATCTTCTTCTGTACCATTTAATGACACCTCAAATGATATGGTATATTGAGACAGATGTGTGCTGTTGCGTTTGTAGACTTACAATATTTGCATGGCAGAGGATATAGCAGGCATAAATAAATAAATTAATAAAAATAAATGAATAAAAATAATAAAAAAATCACACAGAATATCGTTTTTTTAAGTAACGACCTAGCAACTGCATAGCCGCATTCTAGCAATCGAATGCCAGAATGCCTTAGCAACCACATAGCAATGCCTTAGCAACTAACCACAACTCCCTTTGTGCCACTTACAAAATGTTAAAATGTAGTTTTATATATTAATATTTTAAAGTTAAGCATAATTAGAATGCATATTAGCATATTACATTCACTTTTCAGGCATGAAAATCATCATTTTAAAATACCCAATTGCATTGTTTTGTGGATAATGAAAGTAAATTGTGGTGTGATATTAGGTGTAATAGTTGAAAGACCATGTATTGATCCTAACCGTAACCCAGGACAGACGCTACCTACTGTATGCTGTTTGTTCGGGTCACTGGACATCTGCCAATGAGATAACTGCTATTGATCCACCTGCCTGCTTTGAAATAGGTCATTAGTCTGCAGCCTGTCTAAAACACAACCTGAAGGGGGAAATGGAGATATTTCTGCAAAACTATAACTAATAGTCATAATAACTGATAAAAACAGTTGGTTAAATTCTCTTAAACATATTGTAATGGTAGGCTCCAGTGTGCAGCTAAAACTGAATTGCAAATTCTTTCTTTAAAAAAAAAAAAAAGTAAAAGTTGCTTTTAAAATTAAATATCACTTTATTATTAATTTTATTAATTATTAATTCTAAATAAAATAAAATAATAAATAAATACAATACTGCATTAAATAGGTCAAAAGTGATGGGAATGTTATTGATATTTATTTATGGGAAGTTATTTATATTTAAAAAAATATATACATAAAAATAATGAATAATGTTGCTTTTTTTTTTTGTCCGTTTGACAATTTGTTTGTTTTTATAGATTACTTTTTTAAATTGCTTATTTATTCCTTGATTTTTTACTGGAACTCTACTCTTCCATAAAAACACCAGAGACGTAGCAAATCAAATTGTTCCGAAACAAGGCGTTTTCTATTTTTTCCGCTTGTTAACTAGATTCAACAAATAGTATATTATAGTCAGGAGTCAGCTGGTGTAACCCGAGGTTAGTCTGGGAAAAAAGAGGGAGTGTAAGAATCCTGAAGAAACAAATGAAGAAATCAGGTCACCCTGTTCACCTCTGGAACAAACAGTACCAAACCACCTGACCTGATGCATGTTTACACCCTGTCTTCACTGCCACCGCCCATTTACAGGTTAAAGCTTGACCTAATGACCCTCATCATCAGGAGCAGGTAATACCAGGGAGGAAACTACTGGAGCTTAATGAATGTCACAGAGCGGAGGCGGCACAAAACAGGCACTGTTTATTACCCACGCTCTGTTGCGCAAGATTCAACAGATATGGTTTTATTTTGCTGCAAGCGCAATTAATCTAAACAGCAGAGGTTTGTGTCACACAAGCTGTCAAAATTATTATGCATTGAGGTTTGATGTTCAAGAACACACAAGGACAAAAGTACAACCATGTCCTTGTGTCCATCGGTGTTTGCCTGAAGCAAGAGGCCGAGAGATGAAGAAAATTGGGATTGAGTGGTCAGGAAACATATCCAGCATCCTCTCTTAGACGTGACGGCAAGTGAAATCCAATAGTGCCTGTAATAAAGTTAATTTTCCCTGACTACTCAGTCTGTCTCCTCTGTAGACGAACACAAAACACCTTTATGCTGCTGTACTGGACACAGCTGAGCTGTTCTAACAGTTGAAAATGAAAATCCCACTCGATCTTCAAGTTATTCAAGCCATTTCTGTTATATATCAGTATCCCCCAGGTCTAATGTAGCCTTTTTATTTTAATGGCTGCCCTCTGAATCCATTCAAGCATGCCCACAATATCAAAATCACTCTCCTGCCAACCTTCTATCTCAGAGACGTGTTGCCATGGTAACAGTGGGCCAGATTGAGTTATCAAAATCATTTTTCTGACCCACAGGTATTTTCATCGTCATACTTGGCTAAACACAGCAGTAGGAGTCTGCCATTGACATTGTTGCCCGCATTAAAACTGTTAAGCGCAAAGGACAAGCACGATCAGGCCTGAAAGAGCAGAGTTACTGGAAAAAATGTAGCCTGGTTCAGATCAAGCATGATTGAAATACAGCAAGGTTCTAGTGGGAGCTTATTATTTGGAACCCTTAAAATGTTTTTTTTGTAGAAGCCTTTTAAAGGTTCCATCAAAAAGGTTCTATACATATTAATGCAATTGAATCTTTTAGAGGTTCCAAACATGGAACACACACTACTACTAAATGTTTGTTGGCATGCAATATGATTTGTTTTTTAAGAAATTGATATTTCTATTCAGCAAGGATACATTGATCAAAGGTGAAAGACATTTATAATGTTACAAAATTCTATTTCAAACAAATGCTGCTCTTTTGAACGTTCTGTTCATCATAGAATCCTGAAAAAATGTATCACAGCTTCTACAAAAATATTAAGCAGCTGTTTTCAACATTGATAATAATAAGAAATGTTTGAGCACCAAATCAGCATATTAGAATGATTCCTAAAGGATCATGTGACACTGAAGACTGGAGTAGCCTAATGACTGCTGGAAATTCAGTTTTGCCATCACAGGAATTAATTACAATTTAAAATCTATTAAAATAGAAAACAAATAATTATTTTCAATTGTGTTTTTTCACAATATTACAGTTTTTACTGCATTTTTGCAGCCTTGGTGAGCATTAGAGACTTCTTTCAAAAAAACATTTCTTACAAATCTAACCAATCCCAAGCTTTTGAATAGTTGTGTGCTTTATGGGATGTTTTATTGCCAGATTACTTTCTTGGATCAGCATTATTGTACCCAAGATCAGAATAAGAACATAATTAAACAAGAACCTATATAAAAACTATATATCTCTAAAAATAATAATAAAAATAAAAAATCAATGAATGAAGTTCAACACAAGTGCATGTTTCCTTTCTGGAAGTTACCGGATCAAACACTGTAAATGGATTCCTGGACTTGACAAAATCTTCAGTCTCCTCTCAGATCCCAAATACACACACTGCTTGTTAAACTAATAAAAGATTAAAACAAGCTGTGAATAAATGCACTTGGTTAGGAAGGCTAATTAACTATTGATGGCACAATAATAAAAAAAAAAAATCATTAGTAAATTTCATTTCAAACTCGTTAATAAAACCAAAAAGGAAAGCACAATAATAATAATAATAAAAAGCAGGCATTGTAAATCCACCCTTCAGAAGTTTATGGGGTGAGGCATACCAGAGGGTTTCAGAGCACAAATGCAGTTCATATTTTTATTGAAGCACTTATATGAACTCTTCTTTTTAAACTTGAGTGTTATTAGAGCTGTAAAAGTGTCTAAATCATACAGATAATGTTCCCTCTTAAGCTGCACGCATACGCAAAAAAATGAGTTGGGAAAGCCATTTGATTGAATTCTAGTAAATGCGAAATAAATGCAATGTTCGGGCAAATCGCTATAGAGTTGGTTTCGCTATAGAGTTAGAACCGGTGATTTTGGTTTACAGAAAAGAGAATGATGTGCACCAAAAGCTTACAGATATGTTTAAATGCTTTAGTTTTTTTCTATTCTGTTCTGTTCTATCAGTTTAAATGCTTCAGTTTGTTTTTAGATTATATTATATTATAACCCTAATAAATAATTGATCTCAAAAAGGGAATTCATGAGCAATATCTGCTTCATTTTTTTCATATTATATTATATTATGGATGGATTTGTTTCTTACAAACATGCAGCTTTTTACTTCACAAGACATTAATTGATGGACTGGAGTGGTGTGGATTGTTTTTTTTATCAGCTGCTTAGACTCTCATTCTGATGGCACCCATTCATTGCAGAGGATCCATTGGTGAGCAAGTGATGTAATGCTAAATTTCTCCACATTTTTTTCAATGAAGAAACAAAGTGATTTACATCTTGGATGGCCTGAGGGCAAGAACATTTTTTAGGAATTTTCCATTTTTGGGTGAACTATTCCTTTAATTTTGCAGTAACCTGGAATATTCAGTATTTTTGTAGAGCATAAAGATTGTAAACCATAATACAAACACCATCCACCATCTCCAGGAACACAACCAAAATTATGACTCGGCAAGTATATGTACAAAATAAATAAATCTTTATTAATGATTTCCATTAAAGATTATCCCTCATGCATCCCAAGCGGAAAGGGAACATGTCGCATAAATCAATTAGTATTACAATTCATTACAGCTTAGATAAAAAAATTAAAAAAACTCATTCACACTGAGGAAAATTAAGTCGAACACTTTAAATCCTCATCTGAAGATTTGACAGACTATCCACTGCTGTTTGAAGGAAAATAATATATATATATATATATATATATATTTCATGGGCTTGCTAATGTGTGTGTATATATAAAGAGAGTTTAGTGCTTTTTCTTCTCACAGGACAATATATTTAAAAATGTGCTTTGAAGTGTCTTAAGTGTCTATACATACAGTATGTGATAGACCAGTGTATCTCAACCTTTTGGCATACCGGACCCCAGTCCAATTCAGAACCATCCTCAAGGACCCCCAGAACAAAATTGACTCGTATCATTTGTGTCTTTGTGAGGACCAAATGCAGTCAAGTATAATTCAAGTTAGCTGACTTGTCCAGTATTTGGCCATATCATCAGCTATATTGGATTTTTCTTTCATGGGAACATGTCATGTCAAAATAAACAAAATGTATACAAAAATGTATACTTTATACGGACCCCCTGGCCTTATGTCAAGGACCACTAGGGGTCCACGGACCCCTGGTTGAGAAACACTTTGATAGACTATCAACAGGAAATGAAGACAGCGGTGTGCATTTTGAGTAGAACAGTAGTTGTGATTGATCAGTTCAAGTTTGAGAAAAAAAGTTAAATGTATTGCACAGTTAGTTCCTCACAGAGGCTGAATTAGAAAACAAGTCTGATTTCAGTAGACATTTTTGTCCTAGACAGACAGAGACACACAGAAAACTTTAGCTACCCACAGCCCTTTCATCCTCTGCAAACATCCAACAAGACCTGCATCACATACTTAAATACATCCCAAAAGATTTATTACATTTCTGTAATATATGTACCAGATGGATACCACAATAAGCCCTTTGCGGATTCGGACAGTGGAAGTTCTCAACCACTGCTAAAAGTGGAATCTGGACTCAAATGCATGAGCATATTCCCTGTAGCTCTAGTCCAGAAGCAGTCGAGTCTGGAAGGGCTTCACGGACCGAACCAGAGAGAGGTGCTGAGCCGTTCTCAGTGCAAAGCTTTAACCAGTGTTCGTTGTGACTATTTCACAGGATTTACTTCTTCACCTGCTGAAGCAAGCAAAACAGAGATATTGATTGAGAAGATTGTTCCAAAACCTAGCGAGTTGCCTGCCTACTGCCTTCTAAAGCATGTACCCTGAGTGTAAAATTACACAGCCCACACAAATAGTGGCTAAAATGCTGAATTTTTATCAAGTGACAGTAAAGATTTCTATTTCAAATAAATAAATCTATCATGGGTTCCACAAAAATCTGAGTTTTAAACATTGATAATAACAAGAAATATTACTTTAGCAGCAAATCAGCATATTGGAATGATTTATGAAGGATCATGTGACACTGAAGACTGGAGTAAAGATGCTGTGCCATCACAGGAATAAATTATATTTTAAAATAGAAAACAGTTTTTTAAACTGCAATAATATGTCACAATATTACTGTTTTTACTATGTTCTTAATCAAATAAATGCAGATTTTGTAAGGATAAGAAACTTTTTTCAAGACGTTAACGTAAACATTCAACAGATCAACAGGTCTGTATTGAGCATAATGTGATCCATCAAAACCAACCTCCATCCTCTGTTATGATGCTCACACAGGGGGCTTCCTGGCTGGGAGAGGAGATCTACGTGGCGACACAGCAGCCAGAAGCTCGTTCACAATCTCCTGCCTGATTTCATGTGCGATACTTTCTTTAATCTGCAGGAGGATGAATAAGAAATTATGTTAGACTGCATTAAAAGGTAGGAAAGTCAAAAACTAAAAATATAGAGAGACCTAAAATGCTGCATAGGGACTCGAATCGGTGAATCATTTATCATAATCTGTTTATTTACACGAACGTTTGGCAAACTACCATTCAAAAGTACTTTCTGGAATATAAGTCATGTATTTATCACCTGAAAAATATATTCCAAAGCGACTTCGTCAAGCATATTTGTGCTGAGCGAAAGTTGTACGCAAGCTAGTTTATTTTCAGTTTCGCATGAAATAAATTTGTTTACTAGAAAAGCTAAACCTTTTATTCTCAAAACAGCTGAACTACTATCATACTGCTGAAAAAAGTTATGTTAAAACTGCTATTAAAACTCACCTATTTACAATGTTTCTTAATTAATTGCTTGCCTTAATTTTCTGTTCTATGCTTTTGTAACTTATCTTGCATATTGCATATTATCTCACCTCTGTCTGCTGTTTGGCTGTTTATATGTTGTATACTATCTGTTATTTACCTTGTGTAAAGTGTCCTTGGGTGTTTGAAAGGCGCTATATAAATAAAACGTATTATTATTATGATGTTACAACTTTTATTTACTGCCCAAAACTGTTTGAGAATATATATCTATAAATCTGCCATACAGCAACAAGGTCAATTATGTTAAATGATTTCAACAGTTCTCCATATATGAAATCCAAAGAACTGGCAGTGCTGTGCAGGGTCAAATACATATTGATACGCTGGTGAAGAACATCAGGTCTTGTCAGGCTGTTACATCCCTCCACAAGCCATGAAATTACCTAGGTGACTACAAGGATCCAATTCAGTCCAAGTTTCCTTCATAAGCATCAGAATTGCTGGACCATCATGACAGTCTAGTAAATTAGCATAAACTGATGCATGATATTTCATGAGCAAATCTGTCAATCATCACACACACCACCAAAAACCATTATGGCTACAAAGAGCTCACTCAAACGGTGCCAAAGACACAGTTAAATAGGCTTTTTTCCGCTTTCTTTTGAGATGGAGAAGGAAACACATGCTGCTTTTGTGTCTTCAGGTTTGACAGTGTAATTTCTAGATTCTTTGGCAGAATCTAACAGAATTTCAGAAGCTTATTTCTGTCAAGGGGGGAAAAAAATCTGACTTTTCTCAGTTCATATCTCTGAGAAAATCAGAGTTTATAGCTCACAATTCAGATTTTTCTTCACAGAATTGCGCGTTTATATCTCACAATTCTGTTTTTTTTTTTCCTCAGAAATGTGAGATATACACTCAGAATTGCAGAAAAAGTCAGAATTTTGAGATAAATAGTCTTATCTTTAAAAAAAAAAAATGGTGAAAATAAGACAATTCAGATATTTCTTAATATTGGCCGTTGGCATTGCTGTATATTAGTCCTCTCATCTGAGTTCTCTCACCTCCTGTATAAGATTTTGCAGGTCACCATTCCCTCCACTTGTACTCCTCCATTCGGTGGGACTGCAGTCCTCCGTCGTCCTACTCCTGTGTCCATCCAGTGACATCTCGTCCTCATCTCTGCTCAACTCCAAGGAAGCAGGTGTCATGTTCTGCTCCATCCTCTCTGGAGAAACAGGCCGAGGAACGTCCATTCCAGGCCTTGCAGGGACGGTGGGTGTGAGGTTGAGGGTTGCCCGGTAAACGCTGCCTCTCTGCGGGGAAGGAGAGCAAGACTCAAGCGTTTGGTTGAATCTTCCAGGGCTGTACGCCCTCGACGAGCGGCCTGAACTGAGTGTGGCAGCCTCATATCCCAGTTCAGACTGAAGGTACAATTGCTCCTTCAGGAGGTCTGTCACCTGTATATTCACATACAAGAATTTATAAAGGATGAGAGGAAACTGAGAGTAGAACAAGGCATGCATATGATATCTGATACAGGACCCTGTGACATGAGAATAATCCACTCACCGGCTCCATGGCCTGCAGTGCTGAAGAATTAGACAGGCTTTCCATGCTGTGACCTCTGTGCATGCCCTGCGAGACACGTATCTCTTACTAAAGGTTAAAAAACATCAACATACACTACCGTTCAAAAGTCTGAGGTCTGTAAAATGTTTTTGAAAGAAGTCTCTTATGCTCACCAAGGCTGCATTACTGGATCAAATTGTAATATTAACAGTAATATTGTGAAATATTATTACAATTTAAAAGAATTGTTTTCTATTCTAATATATTTTAAAATACAATTTATTCCTGTGATGCAAAGCTGAATTCATGCATAAAACCTCCTTCATATTCATGACATGTGTCATGTCATGATTATGAAGGTGCCATGTCAGTCTTATGCACACCCCTTCAAGTAAAGTGTTACCGAAAAATTCTTTGTGACTCCATAATTGCCTTTATTTTTGATCAATTTTAATGCATCCTTGTTCAGAAAAAGTAATAATTTAATAAAAAACAAACAAACAAAAAAATATTCCTGCCCCCAAACTTTTAAATGGTACATAACTTTTCACTTGACTAGCTTTGGTGTGTCCAAAATTGTATATCACACTGACGGTATGTAACAGTGATAGTTATTTTTGCTGTAAATTTGACTCAATGTTTTATGTATTATATAATCACAATGTAATGTCGGTTTATGGTTATTCCAAATATATCAGGTTCAGTGAAATTCCCATTGGAATTTACATTAAGACTAGTCTGTACTTCCAATCCTGAGAGGGTATAATAAAAATTACAGTTTTGTTCTATTACTTTCTAACAGAAATATATTTTAGGTAGCATATTAGGTAAATGCTATAACAGCATAATTGATCATTTCTTATGTGGCAGTTGTTGCTGCATTCACTGACCATGTGGTGGCGGTAGAGGCTGCTGTGCTGCGAGCTGCTGCGCATCTGTTCATTCAGGGAGAGCAGATGATCTTCCAACTGCAGTTCCAACTCCTGCAGCTCCTGCCTGACTGCCGTCCGCAGTGCTTCAAGATGTTCCGCCTCCCGCCTGCAACATCACAAACCCCAATATAAGATGTAAGGGTTTAAGTTTCACATAGTTTGTTTTTTCTCACAGTCTGGCAAACAGTCAGTAAATACTTCACAAGTCAGTATTTGAGGAGGCAGCGATCACATAAATTTAAGGTTGATACAGAAAACCAATATTTAGAGTGAAAAATCATTAGTACACAGTAACATTTCCAACCACCTTCAACTGCCTTACATTTTTTAAGTACAATCAAACTGGCTGTCATTTTAACTTAAATTATATTAAACTGACTTTAAAAAATCTACTTAATTAATTTGACGAGTTAAAGTAAAGGGAAAACTACATTTCATTTTTTACAGTGCATTTATGATTTGTTCACACATTTTAGGGTCATTTGTTTGAAGACTTATTTATTGCTAAATCCGCTTTTTCTCTATGTCATACTGCACTGCCATATTAACAATTAATTTATGGCTATATTCGCCTTTTCTCTGTCAAATTGTACAGGCGTTTAGTATGACAGGAACTGTGGTGCAAACATGTACATAACCATACTTGCCAGCGCACTTACTGTAGCCTGCTGCATACATACTGTATGGTTAGTTCTTTTTATGGGACCAGTCTATTATAAAATTGCGTGAATGAAAAAAAAGAAAACATATATATATTCCCTAACATCTTAAGAACACACATTAACATTGACAGTAGGGCTGCACGATAAATTGCATGCGATATTTAATGTGCATCTTATCAGTAAAGCCGGTTCTGTAATCAGTGGTAAATCTCCATCACGTGCGGGCTTTCATATTGAGCAGCATTAACTACACAGAGCCGTTGTTCACTGACGAGCTGCGCAAAACCACGATCATATTTTGCGCAGCTCGTCAGTGAACAACGGCTCTGTGTAGTTAATGTAGTTAAAAAC